ACATATTTAATTTATAATATCTAACAATTCAGAGAAGGAGTACAAATTGCTAAGGCAAGGAACTTGGAGATGAAAAGACAATGGTGGGGTGTTAGTTAGAAATAGAGACTACCGCAAGGAGCATGAAAGGGACAGCTTAGATCTAGAGGTGATGAATTTACAAACTTCTTCACAAAAGTGGTGTTCGAAATCAAAAGATAACAGAATCGCTGAGCTAGGTGTGAAGCAGGAAGGTTCAATGAAGGCTAAGGCCAAGGTTCTGGGGGAGCCTCCACAGGCTGATGCCACTTCTCACTCACTACTGTTTCTGTAAATAGTTTTATTTACAGCCTTGACCCTGCATTCACATAGTGTCTATGACTGGTTGTATGTTATGACAGCAGAGTTGAGCAGCTGAGACAGAGACCAAATGGCTTGCAAAACCTCAGATATTTACCGTCTGGCCCTTTATAGAAAAAGCTTGCCAACCTGGTTCAAGATGATCAAAGAGAAAGAGCTATAGAAAAGATGAGGCACTCTGAGACCAAGAGAGCGTAGCCATGAGAAAGTCAAGAGAGAAGAGGGTTTCCAAGGAAAAGGTAACTAGAAAAGATACAGTAGATTACGAGGAGGATGAAAGTTGGGGGGAAAAAACCTTTGAATATTGTGATAAGGAGGTAAATGTCATCTCAAAAAATCCAATTTTGAGATGGACCAAAACCCAACAAAAAATACTCAACATATCTCTTTATCTTTCTCCCCTCTGCTTTTTTTGTTTCCTTTGTTGGGATGAAAACCTTAGCTCCAGGTCCTGGGAAGATGGCTCTAGACAAGTTGCACATTCAGAGAAAGTCTAATAGTAATGACATGGATTAAGATAGTGTATGTGGAATTGTAGAATGTTCTCAGAAGTTGAAGGATGTTGCATGAAGACAGCAAATTACCACAGGCCGAATGTCTGGTTTGGACCAAGTACTCCTCATTCAGAGGTTCCTGTCAAAAAAAAAAAAAGAAAAAAAGTCAAAGCAGACTTTGAGATGTTGGAGATTCTAGTTTAATGTAAACAGCACAGGCAAATCCTTACTCCCTTTGTGATCTTGGGGCAAGTCACTTCATTTGTCTCAACTTCACTGTGTTGATCTGACGATCCTGTAAAACTGGGATCATCGGCACTCGTTCCGTGGAGTACTATGAAGACGACACGAGGTCTGTAAAGCAGTTCATGTGATATTTGGCATACAGTAAGTACTTTGTGAATAGTAGCTTTGCTTTCAGAGCTGGTATAAACCTCCTTTTCTAAATTCAGATATAAAAGACCTATTAAAATCCCCTATCGTCTGCAAATCAGTGTTATGAAAATTCTGGGCCCCATCCTTCCAGGCTGGCAGAACACTTAATGCCCTTCTTAGGGCTCCTACCCCAGTCCCAGGGTGAAGCTGAGGTACCTTTGAGGCTTTATTGGTCATCAGTTACCCAGGCACCTTGTTCAGGTGCAGCCGTCAGGTGGGGCTTGGAATCTCCAAGGAGGCCGAGAGGCTGTGTCAGGGTGCTGGCTTCCCTCAGGGCCCACACTGAGCAGCCTCCCTCGCCACTACTACTTGCCGACCCAGGGGCTTTGCTTTCCAGTCCCAGAGCATCTCCTCTTTCAGAAGACACACACTATTCTACTTTGGTATCATACGGTGGTGCCAATATTTTACCTTTTCAGCCTGCAAAAAAATGGCTATTTCATGTAGTTCAAATAACGATTTGAAAGGTTTAGTTTTCTTTCTTCCTTTTTCTTTCTTTTTTTAAATCTAGGAACGCAACTGACTTCAATGTCTATTTGTGCTTTATCGATAGCAAAATCCTCTGTGGCAAGGAAACAGAAACAGACTACTTTATTTCAGGGCAAAGGAAAACAGAGAAAAATTTAAAAAATAATCATATTTCACTGAAGCATCTTGACACATTTATATGGTAATAACAATAATAATTATTTTTTATTGTAATTATTGCTCATATCCCACCCCCTTTCTCCAACTGTATCCTCTCTGCACGGTTCATGGATCCTATAGATTATTCATGCTGTGTTGATTGACTAGCTTTGTCTCCCACCTCCTGCACACCTGGCACACTTCAGCTGTGTCACCCTGCCAGCAGCTACCTGCCTGCTCGTCATCCCACTAACCCTTCTGCGTTGCTGGAAAGTACCCGCTCCTCAGACCTGTCACGCTGATAAACTTCTACTCCTCCTTAAAGACTGAACCGATACAGGCTCTCCTCTGTGTTCCCTGAAAAAATTTAAAGCGTCGTCTTCTATATTTTTGCAGTGCCTTATTCTCAAACCATTTAGACTTAAGGTGATTGAATAAGTTGTCATCTAAACTCAGACACTTAAAAGAAGTTGCTAGCAGTAATTATGCCGGAACAACAGACATAAACCAGGAGTGCCCAGAGAAAACCAGAGTGTATGGTCACCCTACTTCTCCTTACCTTGCAGTCCCCCCTCCCCTTCCCTCCCCTCACAAACATACACATCTACACGGTCAGTAACTCCCTGGAAGGCATAGGCCTCAGCATCTAGGATAATATGACTGCTGACTCATTAACTGGTTAATTAAACCATGGGGATTTTGTTGGAGGAGAACATTCTAGACTAGTGAAATAGCATAAATGAACAAAAGGTGATGGGAGGGAACATTTAAGAGGAAGAGCAAGTAAACCAATCTGTGTGGAACAGATATTTGGGGATTGGAATATAACTGGGGAAAAATATTGTGCCAACTCTTCGTTGTCAGGCTAAGGAATTTCAGGGGAAGGTTTACACATGGGGGAATGACAGAAAGGATAACTGACAGTTGTATGTCAGAGGAATTTGAGGGAGGGAATGACAGAGAACTGCTGAAACTTTTTGAATAAAAAAGATGGAAATATGAATGCCTAGATGAGGACTCTTTGTCATTTAACCTTTTATGCTTTAGACTGCCAGCGCTAGAAACACAAATTAGCCTGGTTTAACAATTTAGGGGAATGTATCAGCTCAGTTAACACAAATACACTGGCATTGCTGGATCCAGGTTTTCAGGGTCATATCATATCATCAGGGATAGTCTATCTCTTGGTTCTACTTCTTACTGTGTTGGATTCATTCTCAGTCAGGTCCTCCCCAGAATCCCCATCAGTAACTTCCAGTCTGCTTTCTACCACCTTAGCAACTCCGTGGAGATGGAATGCCACTTCACCAATAGGCCTAGCAAAAATCCAGAGGAGGGTTCTCTAGATCCTGAAAATCAAATCACAGAGGTAAAATTATCCACAGGAAACATAGAAGTCATAAGCTTTCAAATGAGCATGGAGAAGAACTGTACTCATTCCAAAATGATCTAGATTCTATTTATTCAAGATATTTAAAATATAAGACACAAGATATGTTTATTTCCTCTACTTTAATTCCACTGTAGTTAACATACAGTGTTATATGTTATCTTTAATCCAATAAATATTTGTACATATTATGATATTGGCATATCATGCTAATAGTCCAAACAAAATAGAAATTATTATTTCACCTTTCCAGTCCAACCTATAAATACAATCGTGTAGGGACTTAAGATTACTTGTCTTTGAGGAAGTCATAATGGAGCCAGATGAGGGCTGAAAAGGGTAATTAAAGTGGCTGTCTTTGTGGGAATTCCTTAAATAGTTTTACTGAGGAACCAATTGGTAAATTGCCATGACAGGATCTATGGGTTTGAGAAACATTTATAAATTTATTGTAGATTTATTTGTAAATTTATTTGTAAACATTTGTAAACCTATTTTATTTATTTGTAAATCTATAGCATAATTCTGGGAAGATTGTAACTGAATTTTCATGAAATGTATGTTCTGAATAAAGGGTACAATAATGTTCAGAACACAAATCCAAAAGAGAGATACAAAGATTGAACTGGATTTACACAGGTTTTGGAAAACAAAAGAATATGTATAGAATAATTCTATTTGGTAATCAAGTTATACATACATATATTCATTTATGTATATCTGTATTTAATACAAATGAAACACTGCATCACATATAGGCTATCACTTGTTGATGGGTTTTGGCACAATTTTAATTTTCTTAGTTGTCTGTGGTTTTTTTTGGTTTATTTTCTAATTTCTAGAATGAATGTATATTAATTTTTAATGACAAAAGGAATAAAAATTTTTCTTTAAGAGAAAGAGAATTTTGACCTAAAGGTAAACTAGCTTTGCCTTTTGAAATGATGTCACTGTGGCCCTTCTCAAAATTTTCCCCTTACAGATAGCATAAGTGTCTCAGCAACAATATTGGGTTGGGTAGGATACTACTCTGAAAGAATGTGCCATTTCTCTTATAAGTATTAATCAAATACAGCTTTACTGCATTATGCTTGGGTAAGTGATAAGAATTTATTTATTTATTTTTGAAAGAGCGACAGGGAGAGGGAGAGAGAATCTTTTTTTTTTTTTTAAAGATTTTATTTATTTGACAGACAGAGATGACAAATAGGTAGAGAGGCAGGCAGAGAGAGAGGGGGCGGGGAAGCAGGCTCCCTGCCAAGCAGAGAGCCCGATGCGGGGCTTGGGACCCTGGGATCATGACCCAAGCCGAAGGCAGAGGCTTTAACCCACTGAGCCATCCAGGTGCCCCAGGGAGAGAGAATCTTAAGCAGGCTCCACACCCAGTGCAGAGCCTGATGAGAGGCCCAATCTCACTACCCAGAGATCATGACCTGAGCCAAAATCAGGAGTTGGATACTTAACTGACTGAGTCATTCAGGTGCCCCAAGTGATAAGAATTTACTCACATTCACTGATACCTATCTTACTAGATCAGTTTTGTTTTTTTTTCCAAGAACGTACCTTTCAAGAACAAGCTTCTGATACAGACAATAGTCTGAATCAAGAATCCAGCTTGATAGAAACCATCTTTAAAGTACTGTACCATTGCAATTTTTCTCCACAAACATTTGGAAATGTTTTTGTGAACTACATGGAAGAAGAACAATTATGGGACTTTCTATATAATATCCCAGGTATGAGAAATTTACTATTTGTAAAAGAAGTGTTTTATAGATAATTAAATAAAACTTTAAAGATGTTTCGAAGATTTTATTGATGTCACATTTGCTGAGTCTGTTGTAAAAGTTTCTCTTACATTTGTTTTTCAGTATAAATGTTTCTTTGAGAATCATTAACCGTTAGGTCCTATCAAAATATAGTATACCTGCGACAAGGTGAAGGGAAGATTAGGGGGAGGGGGAATTATGTAATACAGATTTTCTTTTTAAATTATTATTAGAAAGTGTCCTCACAAAATTTAATTTAATATTTACCATAGATTAAGTTTTGCTATTGAGCATAAAATATTTTGAAAAAATATTTTGTGATTCTTAGATGCGTTTATTCAACAGATAGTCAAAACCACTGGTCAGTTTTCTTTAAATGTGAAAGGCATTTATTATTATGACCATAGTGCCTCTGTCTCTACAAAGCCAGCACGTTCTATTGTTCCTTTGGGGATCATATGTTTTTCCATTTGTATTGTTCTTCTGCCTACAACTAGAATGGATGATAAAGCCAGAGCAGGTTGCATTTCTGAATAGAAAGTGTTCCTGGGTTTCCCCATCTTCAGGGCCAGGTGGAAAGGTGCTTACATTATTTTATACTTAATATCCTGACTTTAATTCTACATAATATCTTGGGAAAACAAAGAATGAAAACTTAATAGTTAGTCCATTAACTATTTACATCATTTACATTTGGCTGTCGGCCTATAAACTGTTTTATATACTGTTTTAGAAACTGCATTTCCATAAAGTATTTCCTGGGACCCATATAAAAAATCTAACTTGTTCACATTCATGGTTTTGTTCTTCCTGGACTTTTTCACTATCCTCTAGACATTACTTGAGTATCTTTTTAGCTAGTTTAAAGTCATTATGTTACATCTTCTCTTCGTCATTATCTCTGAAAAATAGCAATAGATAACTTTTTGTAATGATTTTAAAAACTTGAATCTATTACTTAATGGCTGTGTAATAATTATCTCCTTTTAAAGTTTTATCTCCTAGTTTCTATGTATTTCTTATGGCTACCTCTTTACCCAAAGGAAGGACAGTTTTCAGGTTAGAAAGACTTAGTTACTTCTGATGTAGACTTTATGGAACTGAAAGAAAAATAACCTTGAAAGCTCTTCGATCCCTATTGTTTTTAGTTATTCAGGTGAATTGAGAGCCGAATTCTCTCCTAGGATTAAAAAGAATTGGTGACCCACATGCTTCAACCATTATTTATTCTTCAACTCTTAAGCTCTTGAACCATTTTGATTCTTAGCACAAAACTGTACTGAAAATGACCTAGAAGATACCAGTGGCCTTTAGGTGCTGCCACCAGAAAGCAAAAATGCTACTCATTCCTAATTAGTCTTCTTTTCATCTACACTTTGAGCAAACCCTTCTCCACAAGGTCAGACAAGTCTCTTAAAACAGGTATGACACTTATTAATACAGTCCGAACTGTGTGGGGTATTTCAAAGGATCAGAAATTCAAATTTGTGAAATGTCCTTGATCTTTGTTTAAATTGTTTCTTTGTAAATATTAAATATTCTCTGGATCTTAAATATTTCCTGGAACCTGAGACCCTACAGCAGTCATGAGGGTCTCAACTTTTGTACACTTATGTATAAGATATATATATAAGTGAATACTTATAGGTATTATTTCAAACTTTCTGTTAGATGAGCTAATAGTAAGAAAAATTAAAGGTTTTCTGTGAAGGATCCACCATTTATTCTCTACAAAACCTGGACCATCACTTGGGGAGGGTTTACAAAGACAAAATACTGAGTATTTTGTGAGACTCCTGAAGCTGACTCTCCACTGAGCACAGAGCCCAGTGCGGGGCTCCACAGGGGTTTGATCCTAGGACTCTGAGGTTAGGACCTGAGCTGAAATCAAGAGTCACTCAACAGACTGAGCCACCCAGGCATCCCAGCAGGATGGTGGTTTTAACAATGGATTGAGTCATGTGAGAAATAACACCTCAGGGCACCTGACTGACTCACAAAAGCATGCAACTCTTGACCTCAGTGTTGTGAATTTGAGCACCCATTGGGTGTAGAGATTATTTAAGTAAGTAAAAGTTAAAAAAAAAAAAAAAGAAGAAGAAAAGAAAAAGAAATATCACCTCAAAATTTCAGGGAAAAAACATATAAGTACTTTTCTGTATTGATTCAAGTGATTATCCCAAGACTTGCTGTCATACTAAAAAACAAGTAAAATTTTATTGCATTTATCACACAAATAATACATAGTCATGGTGGGTAATATATATGATCAGAAAGAATGTAGAATGGCTGACAAAAGGACAGAAGGGAGGGAGGATACAAAAGAAGCAAAAGTAAACAAAAAAGGGAAGGAAGAGGAAAATATCTGAAATCCCATCAGTCACTGAACCTCATTATTAACGTTGTAGAGTACGTCCTTTAACTCGTGTGTGTGTGTGTGTGTGTTTAAAATAAAAAGCATGTCATGCTTTTCCTAACCTGCCTTTATTTATTTTTTTAGTGAATAATATATGGGTTTGTTGTGTAGATGTGTAGGTATTTAAACAAATAACCAATTATTGGACATTCAGATTATTTTCAATTTTCCTTTATATCTTTTACATGATTATAATTAATTTCTTAGGGTGAAGTCCTAGAGACAGAATTAAGTGGGTTAGCAGGTAAGTAAAATGTTAAAGTGTTGATATTGTTGCCAAGTTGTCATCTAAGAAGGTCATACCATTTATATTCCTACCATTAGAGTTCCAAACCACAAGCAGATATTGTTATTCACTGTTATTTTAATTGTTGTTTTCTTTATTACTAAGAAGAAACTTTTTTTCCCAAACGTTGATGGACTGCTTATTAATTATTTGATTTCAAGGTTAAAAGAAGCTCTCCTTTTCTATAGCTTTAAATTAGATTACTGAGAAACTGAATTCCCAGTTGAATAACACACAAAATATTGCCAGGTTCTGCTAACTGTAATATGCTGTCTGATTTTAAAGTCTCAACGTGCATGGAGTCCGAGCTAGAGGTCATCCGATGCTTGAGATTGGCACTGACCGATGCTGTCAAGGACATTGTACAGCAGATAATATTTGTGATGAGCTCTGGGAGGAACTGTGAGACCAACTTCAACAAGCACAGAGTTCCTGATTGTTTGCGTGAGAGCATTCCCAAGGAATGGAATTATATTCCACAAGAACCTAAAAGGAAGGAATCAATCAAAGGTATCTTTCTTTCTCTTTTTCTTTCTCTTTCTTTCTTTCTTTCTTTCTTTCTTTCTTTCTTTCTTTCTTTCTTTCTTTCTTTCTTTTTCTTTCTTTCTTTCTTTCTTTCTTTCTTTCTTTCTTTCTTTTTTAAACATATCTGTGAGGAAACAATTTTCCAGGATATGAACTCAAGTAAGATTCTAAAAATTTTAAGATTTGTAAGCTGTATTAGTCCCTTTTCCACCATATCTATATATTTGGGACCTATAAATTTTCTTTCTTTTTTTTTTTACTGTGAGCCTTCTGACCAAGGAAACTAGAAATGAAAATGACTCAAATGGTTATCATCTTTATTTAACTACCAAATCAGAATTTTCTGTGATATGTTGTGATAATATTTGCATTCATGGATTATTCAATGATTGTGAGTAACCTTAAATCTACGAAGTAATCTAAAATTTATACTTTGAAGAATATTGCTCTGATGTTCAGTGTAATATTTTTCCTCGAAGTTTTTTCCACTGCAGCCACCAATTACTACTTTCTTTTCTCTTGTTAACAGACCTACTTGTGTAGCGTTTAGGTAAAAAATAATACCCCATTTAGTAACTACATGTTTTGACAGAGTATTTTCCCCCAATATCTATGGTTCTGAATCCAGTGCATTGTTCCTATTAGGGCCTATGCCTCTAAGTATATTTTAGAACCATCAGTTCACGTTACTCATTTCTTTTCTTTTCTTTTTTTAAAGATTTATTTATTGGGACACTGGGTGGCTCAGTCACTTAAGTGTCTGCCTTCAGCTCAGGTGATGATTCCAGGACCTGGGATCCAGTCCCTAATTGGGCTCCCTGCTCATGGGTGAGCCTGCTCCTACCTCTCCCTCTCCTGCTGTGCTCTCTCACTCTCTGTCAAATAAATAAATAAAATCTTAAAAAAAAAAAAAGATTTAATTTATTTATTTTAGAGAGTGGGGAGGTGGGGCAGAGGGAGAGAATCCTCAAGGAGACTCCCTGCTGAGCGGGACCTGGGGCTCCATCTCAGAACCCTGAGATCATGGCCTGATCTGAAACCAAGAGTCAGATGCTCAACGGACTGAACACCCAAGTGCCCCTCATTTATTTTATTAAGACCTCTCCTCTTACATGGTTTCTTTGTACCTATGTGTTTCTGTGTTAAGATTCTTTTGAATGTATATTATGTAACCATGTTAATGAATCTTCTTTAGGATTTTTAAAATAATACTTTTTCCTTTGTATTTATCTTTAAAGAAGAATATTTTTCATTAATTTAAGGAAACTCAATGGTAAAATATTCTAACTGAACCTACTAAAGTCAATTGAAGGGACTAGTCTTTCATTCTTCTCCATGGAGATCCTAACTAATGTGGCTTTTATCCAGCAACCTTATATTACCAACTCAAATCAATTATCTATCTGTGACCTTTCACAGTAATACTTTAATTCTGTCCAAGCCCTATTAAACTGCCTTTGAATCTAGTAAAGCCATTTAATTGAAATTGGAAAATGTCAGCTTTTCATTACTTAAGTTCTTCCTTGTCTGAGTTGTTGCCATCTCTCCTCCATCCTAGCTTTTAGATATGTCACAGATTTTGAGCAATTCAGGAGGTATAATCTATAGCTAACTTTTGTTGTATGAGTAGCACTGTTTTGTTTGTGGGTTTCAAGTCATTCTATTCATGAAAAATTTTGCTTCGTACAAGTGTTCTAGAATTCTTCGGTAATCTTTCAAAGAACCTCAGGTTCAAAAAAAGTGCATATGCTAATGGAAGAGTAGCCTTCCCTGGCCATCACCTCCCCATAATGGCCTCACAGACCAAGGGAGAGTTACAGTGACAATCTTCATATGAAATTTTAGTAAAGTTTCATTTCTTCCTTTCTTCTCATATATCAAAGAATTGTCTTGTACATTCCCAGGGATGTTTGCACCCATTTAGAACCAGTTACTAGTCTTTGAGCACCAAGAGGAGGTATCTACTTTATAGTTTATAGTTAACCTCAACTGAAATGCTTGGCATATAGTGGTAACTCAGTAAATATCAATTGAACAAGTAAGGGACTTAATATCTGGCCTATAAATATTATCTGTTTTGCATACGATGGTGGTGATAAAGGTTGAACACTGTCAGTCTAACAGAGGGTAGAGAGATGGAGAACCATGGTATTCTCCTATTGTCATATCCACCTGGAGTACGCAAAATGGCTTATGCAGTCACTTTCCTCCATTATTTTCTTTGTCTGTATTTATAAGGTAAAAATGATGATGATCTGATCAGATTTGGTTAAAAAAAAAGACTTTAGAAAAGGAAGTATATGGGAAAACCATTTGAAATATGACTTCCCATACATTATTGTTAAACATGAATCCTCTTAGGTACGTATCGTGCCTTGAGATACTAGCTAAAGGTGGTTGGAAATCATCTTGATTAGCAAAAGATTTCAAAACTAAGCATCCAAAACATGAAGACAAACTTCTGTAATTGTTTTCAAGGATGTTTTAAGTCAAGTGATAGTTAATGGAGTACTTTACAGTATTTGTCTAAGTAACGATAAATGATTAGAGTCATTTTTTGTTGGTGGTGGTGGTTTTTTTTTTTTTTAAGATTCTAACTTATTAAAAGACAAATAGTCATTAGCTTAAGGGAATATTTGTCCTTCCTGAAACGGTAAAAATGAGAGAACACGGAAAACACTATGGTGACAAACTGAAATGCATTTTTGTATTACTTTGTCAGTAAATACTGTTACATAGAAAACAGTGAGGATTTAAGGAAATAAATATGACAATAAATCATACAATGTAAGAGATTTATCAAAGAGTTGAATGAAAGTTCAGATGCTTTTGCTACAGCTCAGCTTAGGTATTTGCTCCCTTATGTTTCAAAGAGCAGATATACCCAAAGTAGTTGTTTTGTTTCATTGACAGCAATTTCTTTTAAAGATTTTATTTATTTAAATAAATAAATAAAGAGAGAGAGCGAGAGAGCACATAAGCAGGGGAACAGCAGGCAGAGGGAGAAGCTGACTCCCATAGAGCAGGGAGCCTGATGAGGAGCTTGATCCCAGGACCCTGAAATCATGAACTGACCCGGAGGCAGTTGCTGAACCGACTGAGCCACCCAGGTGCCCCGATTATTTGGGCCTGGGTGGCTCAGGGGGTTAAAGCCTCTGCCTTCGGCTCAGGTCATGATCCCAGGGTCCTGGGATCGAGGCCCGAATAGGGCTCTCTGCTCAGCAGGGAGCCTGCTTCCCTCTCTCTCTCTGCCTACTTGTGATCTCTCTCTGTCAAATAAATAAATAAAATCTTTTAAAAAATAAATAAATGAAAAGAATGGGGGAACTGTTGGAGTAATTGTTTTAACTGAGTAGATTCTGGAGAGGAAAGAGAAAAAAATGTATTCATGATATCATTTGCATGCAGATTGTTGGGAGAGAAACTGATGGCAGAAATATACAAAATGGTATCAGAAGTTATTAAGATAGTTCATTTTATAAAAACCAGAAATATTTTTATAAAAACCAGTATCACCAATAAAAATATCCTATCTACACACTTCAGAACCTAGAAATAGAATTTTCTAACATAACTAAAAATATTCCAAGTGTTTCAGTGATTCCTGAATGTGTTTCTTGAAAATACAAAAATGAAATATTTTTCTATTTGTTTTCAAGAATAACCATTGACATTATGATTAATGAATATTTATTTATTTATTTATTTAAAGATTTTATTTATTTATTTGACAGACAGAGCTCACAAGTAGGCAGAGAGGCAGGCAGAGAGAGAGGAGGAAGCAGGCTCCCTGCGGAGCAGAGAGCCTGATGCGGGGCTCGATCCCGGAACCCTGGGATCATGACCTCTGCCTAAGCAGAGGCTTAACCCACTGAGCCACCCAGGCGCCCCGATTAATGAATATTTAGCAGTCAAATGTCAACAACAGCTTTTACCTATTTGATGATTGAGATAGAAAAGCAAGTGCCATGATTTCACAAGCACAGTTATTGATACACTTGTTCCAGTGTGGATCTACATAGGTTCATGTAGTAGCTTTTCCACCTAAGAGAGCCAGTAAAATCAAGTAGTGAAACAAACCAGACACCAGACTTAGAACCTGCCCTTTGAATCACTGTATCAAAATGTTAAGCCCAGATTTTAAAAATAATAAAGCATATTAAATGACATTATCCTCAGTCAAGAAATTATTATTATTTTTTTTAAAGATTTTATTTATTTATTTGACAGACAGAGATCACAAGGAGGCAGAGAGGCAGGCGGAGAGAGAGGGGGAAGCAGGCTCTCCACTGAGCAGAGAGCCCGATGCGGGGCTCGATCCCAGGACCCTGAGATCATGACCCGAGCCGAAGGCAGAGGCTTAACCCACTGAGCCACCCAGGCGCCCCCTCAGTCAAGAAATTATTATGGACGTCTTATACCATTAATAAATAACATTTTAAAAATGACTTTAAGATATTATTTTGTCTTTACTTCATTCATTGTAAATTTCCTTTCTGCATGTTTTATAATCACAAAATATATTATTAACAACCAGTGGTTCATGTCTAGGAAGAAAGAAATGATAAATACATAAATATTCATATCACATTGCATCCATCCTAAGACATACATTTTTTCACACTTTGTCAGCTCTGAAATTGGCCCTTCTAACATGTAACATATATATAGCTTAGATAGAAGCCAGAATATTTAAATAAGGACAGAAGAATTAATGCGTGGCATTCTTAAAAGATCCCTTCCTGGAGTATTGTTAACATCATCACAGACTCCCACAGAGTCTCTATGATTTGGGTTTATTCATTTGTCATTAGTCTAAAGGTTCTGATTGGAATTTGCCATAAGCTTTAATAAGGTATGGGGATCTGAGTATCTGGAGTCCTCAGATTTTCTAAAATATCAGTAGAAGTGCAGGTATGAAGAGAATTGGTAATCTTTACCTGATATCTTCTTAGATTGTCAAATGTTTCCTTGGTATCTGCAGTTAAACCCTCTTTTGAATAAACAGAACACAAGATAAAATCTTTTAAGTCAAACACCTGGAGTAGAATAGGGAGTAAATGACACAAACACATGAAGAACAACAAACCTTTAAAATCATTTAAGAACACAGGGAAGAGTGGTCACAAAGGAGTTTCTTAATTTGCTTTATCTCTATTTCAAGCTTCATCTAAGCATACTCATTTGGATAAAAAGAAAACATTTTTCAGGGAACTATTCGTTACCAAGTACTGAATTAGGCGTTCTCGAATTTATTATTTTACTGAACACAATAATCTTATGAGATCTTTCAAATATATGTTGGGCCCGCTTTAACAGACTTATGAAGACGGTTCCAGTTCATTTTTAACATGATTCTTAAGTTGTTATGAATTTCTTTGGAGTCACCAGACAAGACATGTTTTCCGAGAGCTTTGTAATTTTTTAGAGCAGAGTGACTTCTTTAAATGTCACAAATATCTTGAAAAATCTTTCACATTGTTTTAGTATTTTTGTTTAGCAAAAGCAGTAAAGAATGTTTTACTGAAGAACTCGAAGCTACCTTCTTTTGGCTTGTCACTCGGTTTAATTTTTCAAATGCTGTAATGTATATAGTGGATTAAAACACTGCGCCTGGCTTTGTGGGATAAAGACCGATGAGGTTGTTTTCCATGCTCTTGAGGAGCTTTTTGTCTGTTTGTAAAGACAACTCATGAAGACATAAATAACATAATAATAGATGATAATGCAAAAGGTGACAGCATGGCATATTACAGACCTAATCACCAAAGTGGTCATGCAGATAGTACATTTGAATAAATTCGTAGGAGGAGAGGACTTTGAACCAAGAGTTGAAAAAAATGGGTGACATGGAGAGAGAGGGCATTCCATGTGAGAGTAATGAGATATTCAGAAGCCTAAAAGCAGTGAGGATAAAAATAAAGATAAGGTTTACAGAAACTGGCTGAGGCTGGACTGTGGAATGTTTTGACAGCAACACTCCAGAGACTGATCTCCTAACAGTGGGAGCAGCTCAAACAACCATGGCTGAGAAATTAGATAACACACTTTATGGTATGTTAATTTGGCTTCATGACACAAGAGAGAGGCTGGGCATGGTCCAGAACAGGGAGATGAGTTAGGAGAGCACTGCAGCAGTCCAGGTACCTTTTGTAAGGACGGTTTTCCATAGGTCAGTAGCCATGTTTCACAGTGAGGTGAAACTGTATATCAGAGATGAAGGGGTAGGAGGATTTATCAATGTGGTTTCTGGAATGAAAGATCAGTAAGACTACTTTAAAGATTTTAAAAGAAGGAAGAATCGAAGGGATGGGGAGACAGAGAGGGGGAAGGGAGGGTCAGCAAGGCCAAGTTAGTTTGGGAGGAAAACAATTAATTTGATCTTAATTATAATGAGTTAATGATTACTAGAACAGAGAACTGAAATGTCCCACAGGAAGCTGTAGTTGTAGGATTGTTACCCTGGAGAAAGGCCAAGACTGAAGATTTCAAGACTCATCTAGAAGAGTGGTTCTCCACCAGGAAAGATTTTGCTCCCAGGGGACATTTGACAATGCTTGGAGACATTCTTGGTGGTCACACTGAGGAGAATGTTATTTGGCATCTAGTGGGTGTAGGCCAGAGATGCTGCTAAACCATCTTGTAGTGCTCCTCCAAACAAAGAATTATCCAGGCCAAAATGTCATTAGTGCCAAAGTTGAGACACCCTGATCTAGAGAGGGAGCATCAGTACATACTTCAGAGAAATGACACCAGGCAAGGGAGAGTGTGTGAAATCATCATTCAAAAGGCAAGGACTTCTTAACAATACCTACATTTAAGAGGTGTAAGTATAAACTAGAACTAGCATGGGAAACAGTTTGTTGGCTTATTCATTCACCAAATCTTTATTGAACTGCTGATATATAAGGTACTAAATGTTGGGGATCCAATAGTGTCTTCATGGAGCTTATGTTCTAGTGGAGGGTGACAGATCATTAACAATTAAGAAGGTAATTATTAGGTGACAAAGTAGATAACAGAGAGGAAGTGGGACCTGGCATGGGAAGAGCATGGAGGGATGCTTTGGATGGGGTGGTGAGTGAAGGTATCCGAGGAGGTGACATTTGGGCTAAAAAGTAGAAGAAGGGGAGCCAGGGACAGCAAGATCTAGAATGATTCTGTTATGGATTCCAAGGGAGAAGGAGGCTTAAGAAAGTACCAAAGGCCACAAAGAGGTCCAACAGGAGTGCCTTTACATTTGTTAATTAAGAGGACACCTGAGCCCTTTAAACCTGCAGTCTTAGTAGATAAAAGTATAATAATTTTAAACGTTCTAATCTTCATTCTTGAGAAAGGGGGAAAAAAAAGTGAGTTTGAGATTTGAGGAATTTTAGGCAGCCCCGGAGGGGACCCCAGTGGAGTTCTGTCGGAATATGTCAAGCACTTGCTCTTCTAGACAATTTTCTCCACAAAAATTAGACATCCCCACGCAACACTCAAAACAACACAGTAACGGAATGCAAATGCTAATATTAATCATACCTTTTCTTTCCTTTCTTCCCCAGGCTTCACAAGGCTTGCTGCTCAGGCAGTATCTATTGTAATCAGCAAGTTACCTACGGTGATTGCATGTTTGCCTCCCCCAATTAAATACTTCTTTTTTCTGTCTGAGAGAAAAATGTCAAAAAACTTTGTTGAATTGAAGAAAGCTAGCCTTCTTGTCTGGAACTTGATTGTAATCATATGTCGGATATTTGAGGATGGAAACACTGTGGAACTTTTAACAGGTGCCTCCCTTGACAGAGGGAGTAAAGAGAAACTTGGTTTAATCTGTGTGTGTTTGGAAAGCATCATGGGAAAGCAGACAAGGGGCCCTAATCACATGACCCAGAAGGTCATACAGAGCATCGAGCAGGAAAAACCCAACTGGCTTGAGAGCCAGTTGGTGAAAGCAAGGAAACTGAGCACCGAATGGTAAGGCGACGTTTTTCTCTCATTGAATTTCATCAGATAACATTCACAATAACAAAATCACCAATAAACAACAACAAAAGACTGGGAGATAGGCAACAGAGGTTATTTTGTTAACTTCATGGGAACTTTGACGAATACAGAAAAAGATAAATATCCCATTAAAAACAGGATTATCAGACATTCCTTGTTTTATTAAAATTTGAACCCCATTGACATGCTGGAACATTATACCTGTTTAGTCACCATCTTAAGGTTTCTGATAAAAAGGGTGGTAGTTAAACCCGAGAGAATTTGGTTTCATTCCTTTTCAGTGCACAAACAGGTATCTCGTGGATAGCCTGGAGCATTTTGTAAATGGATTGGCCATGGAGATTAAATTAAGAAGGAATTAATGGATATAAAAGGCTTTTTATTGCTTTCTGTGTACCTGATTGTCAAAAAGGTACACATTTTTCATCTGGTAATGTAAGAATCCCAGAGGGCAACTGGGGCATATCACACTCGAGCTATAAACACACCCAGCTGTTTCTGTATGAAAATGTCAGCCTTCTCATAGGTTTGTCACCAAGAACTAAGTGATTTGTGATATTGCTAAGATTTTTAAGGGTCCCTGATGAATTTAAATACGTACATAGAGTACTCCTGTCTTAAAATTAGTCTTCACTTTTGAACTGCATGATATTGATAAAGGAATTACAGTTCATAATGGCCTACAGATCACTAAGCCAGCCCTTTCTCAGACCACACACACACACACACACACACACACACACACACACACTGTCCCCCATTCTTTTAAAATCTCCTCATGTCCCTAGCAGATACTATTTTAACTCTCTGCCTGAAACGACTAAAAGTTGTTACTTTCCTTAGTATGTGGTAGTGACAAAGAGCTCAGGCTTTGGAATCGGATGGCCAAAAATGAATCCCTTGTGAGTAGGCCATCTTGGGCAAATTATGGAATCTCTCAAAACCTCATTTTCAGTGGTGGTACCAAGCTGGTGGGAGTGGTTTTGAAAAACTGAATAACATTCATAAAGTTTTTAGCATCAAGCTTAGAACTCGTAAGCATTTGTTATTTATAAACTCTTGTTAAAATACATTGCACTCACTGGTATTGTGGTAACGAATATTCGTTACTGGTTTGTGTTAATCAGTAAGACTTCATATTAATCCAAATGGAAAAATCTCAGGAATGGTGATTTTCCTGGTCTTGTCATAGGGACTTGTAGAAATTTACTTCTGGGGTGTCCTGTGGGTAGGAATAACAACAGCAGTCAGGCAAATGCTTAGTAATGCTAAAATCAGCCTTCTTAATCTTTATATTTGCATTCAATACCAATTGACGGCTATTGAAACCAATGAATGAAAGATTAAGGCCAGATGTCATATCCTCAGCGTTTGTTACAAAAAGGGGGGGGGGCGGAGAATAAAAATAGTGGATTTTAAAGTTAAATTTATGATACTTTTGATTTAGGGGTCCCTCTATCAATAAGATCAGTGTAAAGTCATGTCTCAGCAATACACCTGGGGCCACATACGGGACTCCATTAATAAAATTTTAATAAAATTAATAAAATTTTTCCTTTAAAGTTTATTTAAATTCTTTAGAAACAGCACGAACACATCTGATACCTCCTATATAGGGATTTGTCTAGCTATATTTGACTGATTAATTATCTGCTGCAACATGCATCCAAAATGAAGAATTGCTGATCTTTTAAAAATGTTTTACATATTGATAAAAAAAAAAATGGTTTACAGTCCTCAAAGTTCCTGAATGTGTACGAGTATGTAATTAGCACAATGCTATGTCTTTCTCAGTTTCTCGAATATCAATATATAAGAGTTCAGATTTAAAGTTATTTCTTATATGTATCTGAAACGGTAGATTTGACTTATTAACTCACATTAGGTCATCTCTTCCAGGATTTAATGGGCACTGTAGGAATGTACTTCTTGATTCTGATTTCAGATTGATTATCTATTATACAAGTGAACTTCTCCCTCTGCGTAGTTCTCACGAATCAATGATCATTTAGTTTCTAGATCTATGCCATAAAGGAAAATGTATTTTAAACCCCGATGTCTGTGTATAGGTGAGGGGCTGCCTTGGCTTTGCCGTAATTGTTTTAAGTTTGGGAATGTAACCATTTAAACTGAAATAGTTCTGTTAGGGTAATCAAAATTTTAATTCCCCCTGATGATTATCTTGGAACTACACGATATCCTTTAGGTAGATTTCACTAGCATTCAGATTTAACTTTGATTTTGTGGAAATTGTGAAAAGACCTGTGGTGGGAAGGTGGCAGCAGCTGTAAGCACTGCTTGTCTTGCGCACTGCCTGAAAGCATTACTATTCATTAAAATAACCTTCACTTTGTAGTAACACTCAAGCTGTAAACAGTCAACTTAGATTCTGGAGAACACACAGCCCCAAAAGTAAAGAAATGTCTGTCTTTGCAAAGTAATTTGTCGAGTTGAAGATTATTGTTTTTCATCATGGTGACCCTGACTTGGCTGGCTGGGTGCATATACAGATTAAGATTAATGCAGTTATTCCTTGGCTAAGGTCTGCCTCTTTCAGGGCACATTCTCCCTAATGACATGATTGATAGGCAGTCCCAAATCCAGAGAGGAACTCATTAATCATGGCATTGACTGAATCCAATCATTTGCTTCACCTGCACAGTGATGGACAGGAAAGGATACAATTCAGGGGCTGACACTGAGACACTCTTTCGTCAGAGGGCCTCAACTTTTTCAATGTCAGCCTGTACAAAACCTGACAAATTTTGCTTGCAACCTGTATGCAGCTTCAAAAAGATATTTACAAACTTCTTTTATTGCAAGAAGGTCTCTTTTGTTTGAAGATTTACTGTAGCTAACGAATACGTCAAAGAGTAGGATCCACTTTATTTTTTGCAAGCTTTACACAGTTGTAAAGTTTTGTGTGTTTTTTTTAAAGAGAGATGTTTTGAAGCTACATGTGGTAGCAATATAAAAGTTAATGTCCAGCAGCTGGGTATCATTTGGTTCAGTCTTCAGGTCAGCAGCACTTACTCTTAGCAGAACTAATTTTATAATCATGGCAAAATCTCAGTAATGAACTACAGTATATAGCTGATTATACCACAGTAAATTTCATTTAGTCTGCGGAACAGTGGAAAACCAGGCATTTTCTTAAGAATACTTAGATTGCAAAGCCTAACATGATCCTAATAGCAATGTAATAAGAAAAGTGGCATGGGATATATATCATGTACGTTGAATATCATGATTTCTTTTTACTGGTATATTTGGAGGTTTGTTTTTTTTAAATTTATGTCATTCAACGTTACTATCTGAATAATGTTTAAAATCAATAACAAGAAATGTTTCACAAATACAAGTTGCATATTCCAGGGTGGCCATGATAGACCCTTTTCCTGAAGAATAATCAGGGTAGTCGCTTTTGCCAGGTATCCTTACCAAGAAGAAAACGGGGGTGGGGGGGTGGGGGGGGGAAGAGGCCATATATTTTTAAAAGGCAACAAGTGTCAAAAGGCCAATTTAAAATATCCAGTGGTAAGCATGCTGCCAGTGAGCGCCCAGCCTTTATTTAGCATAATAGGCTCCCCCTTTTGACACTTTAATTAGTCTTTAATGTGTTCCAAAGACAGGTGTAAAGAAGAATCTACAAAAGACAGAATACCAAAGCTCTTTCAGGCATCAAAGATACTTTTAATCCTCAAAGAGAAAATACAAATTATTTCTTATATGTTCTTAAAAAGAAATGTTTTGTTTTCATCCCATGATTATAGCAATTTCAACAATTGCAGTAATGGGAAAATGTTTTATAGATAGGAGTACAAATGCAATAAAGAACTGTTTTAAAGAAACGATTCAATTTTTTAAAATGCTTTCAGGTGCTTAGTTCTGTGGCTCCGTTTCTCTGCTCAGGGGCGGTTTGGGAAAGCTTACCTATTTGAGCGGTCTTTATGGTGCTTTGAATATGAGATTTACATGGACTCTCCGCGCTCAATCTCTTTGATTATTTTCCATTTTTACAATTATTCACCACTGATACTTCTATGCTTTCTTTGTACTTAGTGCGTTTATGACAATAGAGAAAAGCACAGCCTTAGAAGAAGGAGATAGTGCTCTTGAACCGACTGAGCAGAAAATAAACATGATGGTCCTGGATATCTGCCACAAACCAGGTGGCAGCGAGTACCTGCGGCAAATTTATCACATCATGCGGCTCAATGAGGTAGGGAAACGGCCTTTTTACCGAGCAATTAGGTGTGTACTGGCCTGAGGCAGCGTCTGCTGGCAGCTAAGGGTTAGTCAAGGAGGTGATAATACTTCTTAAAGTCAATACCAAACTCAATATTGCATTATTAATAGAATCTATTCAGCCCCGGCTGTTCTGCATTTGTATAGCAGAAGCCTCACCGAAACAATGTAGGTTTTATTTATATGGTTTAAACAATAACACGGCTCATAAACTCAGTTCAGTTCTGAATTGTATAGACTAGACCTGGAGTTTGGGAATTGTGTGTTTGTGACTGTTAAGCTGATGTTAAGATCTGCTGTTTGTGAAATGATGAATTTTCCGGAGAGAGAGGTACTTCTCCTACAGACGTCATACTTGTCAGGTGAAGCTGTAGATTTCTTCCATAATGAGAAAACTTGAGAAGAATATTGAACCATATTAGGGCGCAGCTCGATTAACCCAAGAAAATGCATTAATGCATGGGCACTGGTTAGGGCCAATGTCATGCTTGTATGCGTCTCTGCTGGGTTAAGCCTCTGACCTTGCATGTTTCTGGCCGTTTGAGCAAAAATGTAAAGAGCGGGTTATCTCATCTGTGGACTTGGAACAATACAAGTGTATTAACTTCATCAGGTTTTTAATTTGAGCATTTGTACCTGAATTAGAGCGTGACGTCTAATGTGAATTAGAATCATGTTTTTAGCTACAAATGCACCAATGTAATTTTTCAGAATACTAAAAATTCTAAAGTGTGAGTAATGGGAAGCTATAGTGTTTTATCTCATTGGGGTAGGCCTTAAAAACGATAAATTTCCGA